AGCAGTGCTCAAGTGACAGCACTGATATGTCCAGTCAATGTCATGAATTTTCTGTATTTAACGAGATTTATTGTACATTTTTACAACTACATATAAGCAAGAGGTTGTGCTCGTCGTCGGCGACGACGATGACGGGTCGGTGGACAACGACAGAGAGGCGGGATGCGCCGACGAAGCGCCGCGGCAGTGACGTGGGCAGCGTCTTAGGGGTCTATTACCAGACCCTTACCGGAGTCGGCCCGGAAGCGGGCAGCAGCACAGTCGAAGGGACAGCGGAGACGGGGTGTTGGGCGACGAGGCAGGGGTTATTATACGTGCTGGACAGTGCCACGTACAGCAGATACACGGTACTCTCGCTCGTATGTTAGAGAGTACAGGTGGGGTAGGATTCCGTAGGAAACAGATGGGGCATTAACGTGGGGTGGGCAAATAAGGTTTCCGAGCCTAACTAGGCTCGCGACTCCGTCTACAGTCGCAAGCCTAGTTAGGCTTGTTTCTGTCGTCACCCGGGTGAACCACGACGGACCCTTGTCCAGGGGTACCCTCCGCCCTAACTCCTTTGAAGCATTAATTTGCTTCTTAGCCCTCCTGCTCGCTCCTTCGACCGTCTGCAGCTCTTGCGATGTCGTCGCAGATCACTCAACAATACGCGTGTACGTCTCAACTGAAGGTCTTACCTGAGTCGGCTGTTTGCTGATCTTCGTGGTTCTCATAGTTCGCGCTCAGAAGAGCATCGGTCTCGTTCACGGATCTCCGAGCTACGAGCCCGTGCAAGGCTTCGAGGCCCCTGAAGGTACTGCGCGGGTCTACCAGTACAGTCCCGATGGTAGATTGTGGGCGTTGGCCGTGCCGTCCGGGTACGTGTCGCAGGTTGTTGCGGATCCAGCAAAGTCTTACATGGTTGATTAGGGTACGGATATATCGGGCGGAAGGAGCACAGTTACTGCAGGAACTCCCCGTTCCCAACGTCGTCGAGCTGAACTTTTCTCCCCGCGGAACGTACCTCTCGACGTGGGAAAGACCAGGTGAGTATACTACCCCGCTCATATATCTCAAAACCAATGCGTCTTGGTAGTGAAACTCGAGGATGGGTCCCAGCACAAAAACCTGCGAGTCTTCTCGGTCTCTACAGGCGAGGAGCTTGTAGCTTTTTCTCAGAAGGGCCAGGAGGGATGGGATCTGCAATACACAATCTCCGAGTCCCATGCTATTCGTCTGGTCGGCCAGGAGATACAGGTGTACCGTCCGTCGGAGTGGTCGAAAGGCATTGTGGATAAGCTCAAGGTCGAGGACGCCACCAGCGTCTCCCTGAGTCCGGGGTTGAACCCATCGCTGGCAGTGTTCGTGGGCGAGAAGAAGGTAAGATGTCTTCATCAGGCCTCTTTGCATTCGCTGACTGTTCTCCGCAGGGCGCACCCGCAAGTGTCAAGATCTACAACCTGCTGACCCTGGCCAGCCCGCCGACGTGTCAAAAGAACTTCTACAAGGCTGACCGTGCCCAGATCAAGTGGAACATGCTCGGCACGCAAGTGTTGGTCCTTACACACACAGACGTGGATAAGACTAACAAAAGTTACTACGGCGAGACTGGGTTGTACCTGTTGAGCGCTGCGGGTAACTTTGATTGTCGGGTGACATTGGACAAGGAGGGTCCCATCCATGACTTTGCATGGAGCCCCAATTCGAAGGAGTTTGGTGTGGTGTATGGGTGTAAGTACCACCTTCGGCTGCCCCGATAGTCTCCTGAACCGGCCTGCGCAGATATGCCTGCCAAAGCCATGCTCTTCGACCAGCGTGTGAGGATGCTCCACGACTTCGGATCTGGCCCACACAACTTTATCTCCTTCAACCCTCAGGGCCGTCTGATCCTCCTCGCGGGCTTCGGAAACCTGGCCGGCAAAATGAGTGTCATTGACCGCAAGATCCTGAGCCAGGTCGCAAGCATCGAGGCGCCCAATACATCCTGGTGCGAGTGGTCCCCCGACGGGCGGTTCATCCTTACTGCGACGTTATCGCCTCGTCTCCGTGTCGATAACGGCATCAAGATATGGCACTGTTCGGGCCCGCTCATGCACGTACAGGCGATCGACGAGCTGTACCAGACGTCGTGGAGGCCAACGCCTGTAGATTCGGTACCAGCGTTCCCGCAGGTCGTGCCGCCCGCGCCTCCGCCCGGTGCGAGCGTCGCCAGCCAGGCTACTGTAGCGAAGCCGACTCCGACCAAGCCCGCGGGTGCGTACCGGCCTCCTGGCGCCCGTGGTCTTGCGACGCCTGCGATCTTCAAACGAGAGGACGAAGGCGGCCTCCCTTCGAGCGGCCAGTCCACACCCTCGCGCGGCTACAGCAGGAGCCCTGCGCCGCCTGGTGCTAACGGAGACTACCACCGGAGAGACGGGAGGAGGCATGTCCCTGGTGCTCCCCAGTCGCCTTCGCCAGGGCCTGATGGGGACAGGAAGGGCAATAATAGGAAGCGGAAGGGGCCTAAGGCTGGCAAGAAGGAGGACGGGACGGCCACTCCGCCTACCAATGGAGTGGAGAAGCCGTCTATTGACCTTAAGGTCAATGGAGTCCCAGTGGCGGAGGAGGTTTCGGTGCCTCCTACCCCTGGTGGCGATGGTTCTTTGGACCCGGTTGCGAAGAAGGTCCGCAACCTGAACAAGAAGGTGCGTTCTTGTTGTTCCCTTTTTCACCAGGCATTGACGCATCCTGTCGTTCCATAGCTCAAGGCCATCGAAGAGCTCAAGGAGAAGCAGAGTCGTGGTGAGCGGTTGGAGGCCACGCAGCTGAAGAAGATCGAGAGTGAGGCGGAAATACGCAAGGAGCTCGGTACACTCAGCGTAGGCGGTTCATAATATATGCTGCTGCTGCTCTTTGCTCCTCTCGATTCCAATATTAGTCTTCTATCTGTTGGTTCCATGTAATTCGAGAATTCGAAAATGGAGCATTTTATATAAGAGTATGTGAAGTTCCGCCACCGTCACTTGCATCCGTTTTCCAACAGCATCTGTGCCCGTCTCCCGACGCGTCCACGGCGATATCGCGGACATTTTCCTCGCGTTCCGTCAGGTGACGGGAGTGATTTCCCCCTTCTGGCGAGACTACGCGCTTATAACGATGGAGTGGTACGACCTACCTTGGTTAACTGCAGCGACCTGAAGAGAGCTGCTGGCAGGTCCCTGTAACGCGACAAGACATGCCATCCGTACCCTCTACATCACCGATTACTGGACAGCCTACGCCTTCGCACTATGTACACACGACCGACTGCCAATTCGTAGATAACGCTGGACGTACGCTACTTCTACGGGGAGTCAACCTTTCTGGTTCCGCCAAAGCACCGGTGGGCAAGCCTTCGTACGTGTTGGAAGGTTTCTGGGAGACCGCGGAGAACGGAGGTGAGAGTTTTGTCGGACAGCCGTTGAACTTGGAGGACGGGTCGGCGGACGTACACTTGGCGCGGCTGAGAGGATGGGGATTTAATATGTTGCGGTACGTCGTGACATGGGAGGCGCTGGAGCACGAGGGACCGTGAGTCTGCAATACTGTACGTGTTTCAGCTGCTTAGGGTGGATGCCAGCGGAAAGTATGACTATGAATTCATGGACTATACGGTGCAAGTGCTACGGAAGTGCAAGGAGTACGGATTCAAGGTGTTCATGGACCCCCATCAGGATGTGGTACGTGTACGTTTCATTCACTGGTAGAGATGGCACCAATGTTACACAGTGGTCACGGTTCTCTGGAGGGTCGGGCGCCCCGTACTGGACTCTTCCTGCCTGCGGAATCAACCCGCGCAACTTCACAGCGACAGAGGCGGCGATCATCCACCCAGAGTACCCAGACGCGAACGCCCCAGACCCCGCGACCTTACCGGCAATGATCTGGTCAACAAACTACGGCCGCCTCGCCTCCCGGACGATATTCACGCTATTCTTCGCCGGCAACGACTTTGCCCCAAAGTGCGTGATCGACGGGCAGAACATCCAGGACTACCTCCAGTCGCACTACGTCGAGGCGCTGGGCCAGCTCGCGGACCGCATCCGCGATGCGGGCGACCTGCTGGACGAGTGCGTGCTCGGGTGGGACAGCATGAACGAGCCCTTTGAGGGCCTTCTCGGCTGGCGGAACCTCAGCAAGCCGTCAGACAGGCAGACAAATATGCTGAAGAAAGGTACGGCGCCGACGCCCGCGCAGTCATTCCGCCTCGGCATGGGCGAGGCGCAGACAGTGGAGACGTGGGACTTTGGCTCGTTCGGGCCCAAGAAGACGGGGAGCGTCACTGTCGACCCGAGGGGCGCGAAGATGTGGGCGGACCCTTCCACCGAGCCGGGGAACGTCCACCCCAAGTGGGGGTGGAGACGGGACCCGGAGTGGAAGCTCGGCGAGTGCGTTTGGGCGCAGCATGGCGTTTGGGACGTAGAGACTGGGTATATCGCCCAACCTGACTATTTCGTGCGGGTCCCTGGTGAAGCGGAGGAGGTGGAGCCTATCGAGGATTACTGGAAACCTCACTTTCATGCGTTCGCGAAGCGAATACGGCAGGCGCACCCGGAAGCCATACTCTTCGTGCAGCCGCCGGTTTTTGCTCAGCCACCCAGCATCGACGAGGAAGATCTCAGGGGTCGATGTTGCTACGCACCGCATTACTATGACGGTCTGACCCTGGTCTCGCGACATTGGAACTGGTTCAACGCAGATGCCCTAGGAGTCTTGCGTGGCAAGTATTCCAGTACCTGGCAGGCCATCAAATTTGGGGAATCCGCGATCCGCAAGTCTATCCAGGAGCAGCTCGGCGAACTGAAACGCGACGTCGACATTTTGGGTCGCTACCCCACTCTCATTGGAGAGATCGGAACCCCATTTGATATGGATGGGAAGAGATCCTACGGGTGGACTGACGACGGGAAGTATCTGGGCGACTACAGCAATCAGCAGAAGGCGTTGGACGCCAGCTTGAATGCAGCGGATGGGCCGAATGGGCTGAACTATACCATTTGGACGTATTGCCCGGATAGCTGTCACGAATGGGGCGACGGCTGGAACATGGAGGACTTAAGCTTATGGAGCACGGACGATATGAGGGGAGCGGGGCGGGAGGAGCTCAGGATGGGCGAGCATCTGAGAGAGTCAAGTGGCGACAAGTTGCTCGGGTCCCGGACGGACACTCCGACAATGCCTGTAACAGGAGCCACCACACCAACCTTCGATGTTGGCTCGCATCCGAAGGGTTCGCCATCCGGTTGGAGAGATCACTACGATTTCTTGACTGATGGCGCAAGGGCCGTACGCGCATTTTGTCGGCCGTTTCCCACGGCTGTTGTTGGTGTTCCTCAGCAGATGGACTTCAACATTGCGAAGGCCGAGTTTAAGCTCACTGTCCGCGTTCGCGGCGAAGACGCGCCCAGAATACCTGATAGCACGCTGTCGTTAGCGGGGAAGGAGTCTGCCCTCCCTACGGAAATCTACGTCCCCTTGGTGCACTTCGCGGATGATAAACTACTTGGTCAGTCTGAGGGCAAGGAGACGTCTCTTGGTGATAGCCCAGAGCCTGCATCCGAGCATGGACTGGCGTCTCGCAACGCATCTACAATCAATCTATCACCTATCGTGTCGCCGCCGACCCTCGCATCCTCAACAAGCACTCTACTGCCCCAAGCTTCATCGGACCTTGCTTTGTCCGTGAGCGTGTCGTCCGGCAGATACGAGGTGCATGGTCAGACGCTGAAGTGGTGGTACGTCGTACCTGCCGAAGGCGAAGAGGAGCAAGAGTACACTATCACCATCAAGCGTCCCGGTGGCCCCATCAAGGTGAAGTACGACGAAGCTATCCAGAGCGCTGGAGCAGGCATGTGGAGCTGGTTAGCTGGAAGTCTATGTCCGACACCGTCGGGTGGGTGCACGATTATGTGATAGGGTTTGGTCTCGGTTTCAGTGCTCCATCGCCTCTTCTCTGTGTCATATTTAGCGGACTGGCAGCTTGCGCCTCTGCCCTAGAACTTTTGGATTTGTGGTTATTGCTTTCTTGTTTTGTCGCGCCCTGCATCTGTATTAGTGTGTACAGTACCCCTGGTGTAGCGTATCTTTCAGCTAATGACGGCCCTCGACCGGTGTAGTCGTACATGAACACGTTCTGTGGCTAACCTGACTCCCGATTTGCGCCGAGCACGCTCGCCGCCGACTACGCGTTTCTCCGGCACATTGCCACCTGCGCGTCTGCCTCTTCCACTCAGCGATCATATACCCTCATAGATGCACTTGTAACTCAACTGCTTGAACGGCGGCTCGGAAACATAGGAATTCTAGTCTATATACTGGGCGTCGTGGGCGATGGCGACGGCGAAG